ATCATCTTTTTGTAGTTCTTAAATATCGTCCAGATCATTAATAAAGCTGTAGCAGTATAGCCACGGTGTTTTACTTTTTACCTATGCAGGTTACAACACACAAATTACAATTAGGATGGTAGAAATAGTTGTTACAAATAGGCCAAGGAGTCGGAGTCGGAAGCATAAAAATTTGAGGAGTCGGAGTCGGAGTCGAAGGTTTTGTCTTCGACTCCACAGCCCTGGTTTAGACCAGTGGTTCCCAACCTCTTTGTACTCGCGACCCCTTTCTCAAAACCCCGAAACACACGCGACCCCCCTGCCATCAGCCACGAACACTAATAGCCTAACCGTAATACATCGAAAAGAGTGAGCGAAAACTATAGCCTACTCCACCGGCACTACATTATGTTGTGTGTTCTAGGTTACTGGCATATCAGCGAAATGAAAGTTTTGGTAATGTTCCTGCTGATGTACTAAGTTCTTCTCCCAAGGCTACCAAGTTCTCCCAAGGCTTCTCGACCCCCAGCCAACCCTTCGCGACCCCAGGCTGATGTACTAAGTTCTTCTCCCAAGGCTACCAAGTTCTCCCAAGGCTTCTCGACCCCCCAGCCAACCCTTCGCGACCCCAGGCTGATGTACTAAGTTCTTCTCCCAAGGCTTCTCGACCCCCCAGCCAACCCTTGGGGTCGTGACCCACAGGTTGGGAACCCCTGGTTTAGACACTCTGAAAGTTTTTTCCAGTAACTTGAAATATTTCCGGGGATGGGGGATTTTTCTGGGTTTGAGAAAGTTGTCCGGTTAGCCGGAAATCTCTCATCCTCGGAAGTGCTCTGCACCAATTGTTCCGGCTAACGGAGATATCACTGTACTAAATAATTACTAAAATTTTTATGTCTAGTGCAAACTACAGCATGTTTAAATTTATATTAATCACTATCTTACAAGAATTCCAGCAATGTAAGATATATTCTCCCAATTCAATTCAGCTGCATTTTATAAGCAAAAACTTAAACTCACTCTATATGACATATAAAAAAATATGCACTGGGCAATACCTCACCTCACCTCACCCCCCCTTCCTGACTGTCAACCTCACCTCCCCTTTCCCAGGGGTAAAGGTAGTTTTAGGCTTAAAGTTTTTATCTTATAAAATTCCAGACTAAACTTAGCAGAATATAACTTACATTGCTGGAATCCTTGCAAGATAGCCAATAATTTGAGTATAGACATTATATATTTTGCAAAAAAGATAAAATTTTTAGTCCATTAATGTAGTACATCGAGTACAGTCATATGTTGCTCCAAATTATGGCTTTTTCACAGGAAAAAAGACTGTATAACTAACCCCAGAAGATTCGGCTTTTCCGGGCAGGTGGTCCCCCCCTTTTAGTCCGGATCTTCGAGGGTTCACTGTATTGGTGTTTACTGACAGAATAGTGTTTAATAGTGATTAATCATGGCATTGTAGCTAGGTTAGCTCATGACTGTAACCACCAGGCTACTGGGCCAAGTTGTGAGGTGTTATGGTTTTTTCAACTTGTATTTTTGGAGAGATATACGTAACTTTCTTCATTTATTTTTACTCGGTGACATGCACACACCATCCTACATACATAGTGAAAAAGGTAAAAGCAATAATAGTTCTAAGAGCAAACACATAATGGGAGAAGAGCACAGCGTGTAGCTGGTGGGGAATCAGCGTCCCAGCTGATCTTCGTTACTATGGTAGAGCCGGGAGTGTATGCAAATGGAGACTGTGTTAAACTTTCACTTGGCTTTTAGTTACTTGCTTGGCAATACAGTAAACCCTCGATAACTCGGCATTTGACAACTTGGCATGGCTATAGTCTCGGAATGTATTAGTATAACTCAGGAAATGCCGAGATATGTAAAAGTATCTGGGAAAATCTCGGCATATCTGGCCACCTGCATCACCTACCATGCCTCTGTGTCACCTACCATGCACCTGTGTCACCTACCATGCCTCTGTGTCACCTACTATACCTCTGTGTCACCTATCTTGCACCTGTGTCACCTATGATGCTTCATTCTTTGCCTGCAGTGCTGGTAAGTGTTACTTTTTTACTTTTATTAATTACATGTACACATATATGGGTCAATAATTTTTTATTGTTGTATTTTTGTAAGGGGGGGAAGTGCCTTGATAAGTCGGAAATTGATATAACTCGGCAAGGCCCAATATGTGCCGAGTTATCGAGGATTTACTGTAGTATTTTTTGTTGTAACTTATTTATTGGTATTATTTTTATTTATTCCTCACATTTCCTGGTACTGTATATATTAATTTAAGAAAACTATTGCTGTGAAGAGTTATGGTTGTTTTTCAACTCGTATTTTCGGGTAGATATACGTAACTTTCTTCATTTATTTTTATTCAGATACATGCACACACCATCCTACATACATACCGTGAAAAAATTACAGTATTACAACGCAATAACCGACATCCTTCATGTTGGGTTGGTTAGATGGCTACGAAAGAAATTCTGTAACTTTGATCTACGTGTCAATCCAGCTGGTGCTCAGATGCCATTTGTTCTAGAGATAGCAATTTTTATGATGAAAAATTTGCCGTATGGCAACCCAAATTTAATAACAAACCACGGAGCTGACTTGAGGGTAGACTCGCATTTTCTTGACAGTTCGATACATTTTATTGTCTTATTTCTGATTATTTGTGAGAGGATTTTCCCATTATTTATTTATTTGTATGTGTTGTGTGTGTGTGTGTGTGCGCGCGTGGCTTCACACACACACGTATACAGTACAGCTCCTCCCCGACTTACGACGGGGTTAGGGACCCAAATCCAGGTCGTAAGTCGAAATGGTCGTAAGTCGAAAATGCCTAAATAATACATAGAAAATCTAAAATGGGTGTCTCTTTTTCTTCTCAGCACCACAAAACTCTCACTTTTAAGCTTGCCAGCCTATTTTAAAGTGAATTACAAACGAAAATTTTGTCTGTGTACTGACGTTGGGACTCGAAAATACGTAATTTGAAAAAATTTTGGTACAACTGAGGCAGGTCGTAAGTGTGGGTGGTCGTAAGTCGAGTAGGTCGTAAGTCGGAGAGGAGCTGTACAGGTAAAAGAAATAATTATTGTTCTAAAGGCAAACACATAAAGGGACTATACATTTCTTTGCATGTGAGTAAAAATGTACCCCCTCCCTGGTCAGCAAATGATATTCGCGGATTTGGCAATTTGTAACCATTTTGAGGCCCAAACCCTTGTGAATTTTAAGGGCATGCTGTACTGCACAACAAAAATTGTATACAAAAACAGCAGTTAGTAAGGGAATAACTCTCTACAATCGTAGCTGCATGTTTTGTGGTTGAAATTGGAGGAGTGAAGAGGCTGCAAGGACAAAAAAAGGGAAAATTTGGTATGGGCGCCAGAGCGAACAATACCTTTAACATGTAAACATATATTGCGAGTTCCGTGATTCAGTAGTTCAGCATGGGGACCCTATAACAAAGCAATCGCGAAACTTAAGAGGTCGGCATACACATTTTTGCTTGTTTTTTGTACAACCCCCAAAATTCATAAAAATACGAAATTCGACTGTATTGTAAAACTGTTGTACATTTATCAAAGGAAGCAAAGGCGAAAAATAATTTTGCTACGAACGAACGAAAGATAAATTAATTTCAGTGTGAACAAAACAGTTACCCAGTAAACAGTTGATTGCAGCAGGCTAGCAGATATACTTATGAGCAAATCTCTAAATTTTTTCTTATTAAATAACAAAACAAATTGAATAATGCCTTATTTATGAATGGAAATATGATGTGTACAAAATAAATAGAATTTAACACTCACCTGATAGGCTTATATAGTGGACAATAGGTTTATAGAAGGTATTCAAGGTGACGACAGTAGTGGCAGGCTTTAAAATTTTCTGTACAGTATAGTCTCGATTTACGCGGATTTGGTTTATGTGTTTGGTCATTTACGCGGCACCATGCCAGACCGACAATTTTTATTTACACGGTTCATTCCATCATTTACGCGGGAAGCGGCGCGGGCAGGGTACGCACAAGGTCGCCCAGTCAACAAAACATTACCGAGTTCTTCACCCGCCACCCACCAGTCAGTGATAGTGAGGATATGGACTTTGAGGGGTTTGACAAAGAGGGCTTGATCTGTGGTGGATAGTGATACAATTGTTACAAGTGATACAGGTGAGGGCCAATAATCTGCCCTCTGCCTCGGAACCAACCTCCCATCCCCGTGTGCCCAGCCATCTTTTCTACTAACGTAAGTGTTAAAAAACCTAATATTATTGATATTTCTCTTAAATATTAATTGTGTGTGCATACCATCATAAAATTAAGAAGTTATTTTTACTACAACGTACGTATTGTGTCGGAAAAAGTGTAGTTTGGGGGTCGGCCCAGTCTCTATTTCAATTAATCCCATATGTTCTGTTATTTCGTTTACACGTGTCTCGATTTACGCGGACCTCCACAGGTTCAATTGACCGCATAAATGAAGACTATACTATAGTTTGTTATATTCTCTGCTGTTTCCCTTTACACTGATAAATGTTAAGTAATCCCCACCAACAACATTCACATCACATGTAAAGAATTAATGTAAATGACTCCTTTCTACCGCTCTTACCCTCTCTCGTGTGTGTGTGTGTGTGTGTGTGTGTGTGTGTGTGTGTGCAGTATATTTACAAAATTATATACAAAGTAATTCATGTACAGTCAGCAAAAAATGTTCTGCACCCCTTGGTCTCATGGCTTTCGCAACGATCACTGACTGAGACCATGTTAATTTGGTAAGGTTGGTATTTATGGTTGTGTGATGCATTTTTTGTATCGCATATAGTTAATACAGAGAAATTAACAGGAATCACCCGCGTAAATGAGTGTTGTTCAGAATTCTTGGTCCGGTGTGTCATATAGTATAACACCATAAAGGTGCAGAAATTTTTTTTGTTGACTGTACATCTATTCAATAAGAATTATAAAATTTACCAAAACTTACTTGACAAAAATCCGAGCACTTTTCTGAGACAGCAAAATAGCCCTTCTCATTTGAACATCTGAAAAGTCTTGTATGGCGCATATATGCTGCATCTTTGTCATAGACTTTGCGACCACCAATACCAATCCAAAAGAAGTTCTCAGGTTCCTCTCCTTCTCTTACAACCTTTAATAATATATGTATTATAATAACACAAAAAGAATATCTGCTGTTACAATACTCCAATATGATACAGCTATTGAAATATTATGAAATGTTACAGTGCAGTAGAAGTAAGTTGAGATACTGTCATACTACCATACAGTGGTCCCTCGGTTAACGAACACAATTCGTTCCACAGAGTCGTTCGTTAACCGAAAATTTTGTTAACCGAATCCGTTGTTTCAATGGGATATTGGGTAATTGGTTCCAGCTCACAGAAAAGTACATACAAAGTAAAAAAAAATGCAGTAAAGTACACTTACTTTGAGGTGTGTATGTAGAAGGTTCCTGGTTGATGATGATGGTGGGAATTAGAAGTGGGGGTGGAGGAGAAGGGAGAAGAGAAGGAAGTGGGGATGGAGGAGAAGAAATCACCTTTCAGGAGACCCATGCTTGATGCACTAATTTCACCAATAAAATTTTAAGTTCACTAGTTCCCTGTACTGCATATATTATCAATATGTTAACTAAATTTTAAAATTACTAATAATTTTAATATAAAAAATGCAAAAATATTAAAGAGCACAACTTTCTTGATATTTACTCTACTGGAAACGAATGTAAACATAGAACAGATTACTGAATTGGCAGACTAGCCCATCAGCTGATCAGCTGACGCTCACAACAAAACGTGATGTTCGTTAACAAAATTGAAGATCCTTATGGGAGGTAATTCATCAACCGAAATTTCGTTAATCGAACCGTTTGTTAACCGAGGGACCACTGTACATCATATGAGAACAAATTATGCTGGTTTGATCATGGCATCCAATTTTATAATTATTGGCAAATTCTCTGAGGTTATAACACGGCTAATCCCTAAAAACAGTGGCCTCCTTATTACCAAAATCCTATACAAATGGATCTTTAATACCATTCAAGGAAGAAGATTGACTGGACCATTCTACATAAGTAGTGAACCTCTCTTTAGTTATCTGCTTGCTTACAAGATGGCAACCACAACAGCACTCCAACTTCAGTGACATCCATTTTGCAACATACCTTTAGGAAAAAGGAGGATAAGTGGGGCCACTGGTCTGGTCTTGGGTTATAAAATGGATTTTCAGGATCATTCTCCTGCCTTATAACCAAATAACCATCTCAAGGAATCACTGTCATATGAAGCTAGACTGACACACTGAGTAGATAAAAAAAAAATGTGGGATTGATGTCAAAATCCCCTTTATTAAACAAGTGTGGATAGGGTGATGTATGTGATTGTCACCACTATCAGTGGACAGACAAAAACAAATGTATTCATCTGCTTTTAAACATTAAACCCCGGGTTAGGGGGCTGCTGGCAGTGGGGGTGGAGGAGAAGGGAGAAGAGAAGGAAGTGGGGATGTTAGAGAAATCACCCCATGCTTTATGCTGCCATTTCACCCATAAAATTTTAAGTTCACTAGGTGTAATTCATGATTATTTTTTTAAATCAACACTGCACTGCACTATATATTGTCAATATGTTAAATCAATTTCAGAATGACCAATAATTGTACTGTAAAAACATAAAAATACGTTGTGTTCAAGAGACCCCAAGCAAGATGTTTTCTCCACTGAAGAGAGACACAAACTGAGGCCTTGGTGGGTGAGTGAAGTGGCTGATGGGCGCACCAAAAACTAGTTCCCTGTACTACAATTATGTTAAATAAGTGTTAAAATTACTAAAAATTTTAATATAAAACTTTAAAAATTATTGAATAGTACAACCTTCTTGATATTTACTCAAATGGGAACAAATTTAAGCCCTATAACCGATTACTGTATTGACGGACTAATATTCCAGCTGGTGAGCAAGCGAAAACATGTTGAGAAGAATTCGTAAGGAATTCGTTTACCAAATTTTTTTCGTTAACCGAATTGAAAATTCTTATGGAAGGTAATTCGTTAACTTAGGCGTTCGTTAAACGAGAGATCACTGTATTGTATATATAAAACGAACGCCTCAGTTAACGAATTACCTTCCATAAGAATCTTCAATTCGGTTAACAATTCGATGTAAATTCCTTGAATTCTTTCAAAGAATATTTATTAAAATAGAATTATACAATTATTGAACATAATTGAAACTGAAACTAGTTTTAGCGTGTAAACAGCCCTTGACTCACCAGCGTCAGTTGTCTCTCAGTGGAAATTGCGAACTCTGAACATAAAACTATTTTTCATTTTTATAGTACAATTATTGGTCATTGACAGTGCAGTGTTGATTAAAGAATTCCAAATGATCATCATCATCAACCAGGGCCTTCTACATGCACACCTCAAAGTAAGTGTACTTTACTGCATATATTTTAGTTTGTATGTAATTTTCGGTGACCTGGAACCAATTACCCAAAAATCCCATTGAAACAATGGTTTCGGGTTGTGAAATTTCGGTTAACAAACGACCTTCTGGAGCAATTGTGTTAGATTGACAGGAATGATGATGATGATGATGATGTGGCATTAATATTGTGATAATATATATATATATATATATATATATATATATATATATATATATATATATATATATATATATATATATATATATATATATATATATATATATATATATATATATATATATATATATATATATATATATATATATATATATATATATATATATATATATATATATATATATATATATATATATATATAATATATATATATATATACTGTACTTTTCATATCTTCAAATACTGTATACTGTATGTATGGTAAAGAGATATATTAACAATAACTAAAGAAAAAAGATAATCAATAAAAAACATCACACTTTAATATTATAAAATAATCTCAATTTGAGTGCTAGCATTAGTAAAATAAAAAAGACACAAGAAAATGCAAATTTTAATGAAGAAGCTTCAACAGGAACAAACTTTTAAAAAGTAATACCAAGACAATAAGTGCTGCCTCTTGCAATTCCACAGAGAAAACTAATAAAGTTTTAAGTGCTTGATAGATAATGTGATATAGTACATGCACCATTCTGAAAACTTGAACAAGAAAAATTTACATACCTGAAGACTGTACTTTTCTGGGTCATACATTTCTTGTGCAACCTCTTCTGAGAGTCGTCCTTCTTCCTCATACTTCTCACCCAGCCACATACACAATACCACTATCATCCTCCTGTCCAAATGGAACTTTGAGAATATAACAGAACTCAGAGTTGAGAGATACAGCATTTGGTTTAATCTGGATGCAGCGTGTGAAGAGTGGGGAACCGTTAGATCGCATGTGGAAAAGTTCTGGCTGGGGCTGAGGTTCCTCTGGCTCCGGTTTTGGTGGGCTTTGGTTTGGGTTTGACTGCTTTGGTATCACTTTCCTGTGGTTCTTCCTCTGCCTTAACTGGCTGCTTCTCTTGCCTACGTCGACCCGAATGTATGACAAATTTTCTTTTAAAATGAGCCATAAACTTGACAGCTTCCTGCTGCTGGTGCATTCTTACAACCTCAAGCTTATCTCCAAACAATGTTTCAAATTTCTTCTGAAGACTGAAAGTAAATGTCAGCCATCCCATGTTGGAAGCTTGTCGCCCTTGCCAGAAATACACCACACAAATCATCCTCTGGTTCTACTTCTTCCTCTTTCTCATCTTCTGCAGGTTCTCCAGGTATCCAATAGCGGCATAAGAATACATAACACTCAGAAGCATGGAAATGGCCAAGTTCATTTTCTGGAAGCTTGACAAACTTCTTCCTCAACACAAAGATATCCATTGAATCCAAGTCATCATTCCACTCATCCATACACTGCTGTGCCTCCTCTAGGGTCATAGGCTGTTGCCGGGGTGTGAACAAAGCACTCAAGTCCACCTTGGTCTCTTGCTTTGCAGCCCAATCCTTTAAGTTGGCTCCTGTCTTCCTAACTGACTCTGCTGTACGTGTAAAATCAACATCAATAACATCTGTCCAGCCATTGAATTTTGTCTTGAAGACTTGTGGTTCAGTCCCTTCTTTAACAAGAGTGGTTACTGCATGGTCTGGTCTAATTATCATTCTTAAAAGTTCCTGTGACAGTTTAAGGGCTGCAGCCCTCACTAAACGAGAGTTGACTTGCGGCCAATCCAAACAAACACATCACAGAAACAGTCCAAGATATACACATTCTTTGTCTTAAGTAATTTCTGAATTAATTTACCTTCGGGTACATCAACCTGGGGTAGTTCAAGTTCATACCCAGTCCAACCTGGTACAGCCTGGGAACAACTGGTAAAAATTTTGGATCCACATGTTCTTCAATCTCTAGATGATCTTCTTCCCCTTCTTCTAATCCCAATGCAGCCCAGAATTGTGGCCAATCATTGTTCTCCTTACCTTGTACTAATGTGTGAATTTCAGCCAGATTCTTCCGCTCTTCTTTATTCATTTTCTCTGCACTGAGCCTTGTTTTAGTGGTTAATGTTTTCTTAGCTTTACTCCCTTGCCACACATAAATGTCTTTACCATCATCAAGCAAAAACACATGTCGTGGATCCAGGGATTCAACCACAGGACACAGTCTCCAAGTGGATGCCAATATTAGTTGGGAAGATCCGATACAAACGAAGAGGATATTCCTGTGTGGGAAAAAACAAACAAACATTACTTTAAGCCTCACTGTGGAAGGGAGGTGAATTTAAATTCTCACCATTTGAAGCATTTTCCACTTCAGGTACAACACATGGTGGCATTGTAAATTTAAACTGTATTGTGATTAATATGACACTATTGATATGACAAAGTATCTACTTACAGCATCTGATATATAGTACAGTATAAAAAAATTTAATTATATACTATATATATATATATATACAGCTAGACCCCGACTTACGACCGTCGGAACTTACGACCACGCAGTTGTGACCATTTTTTTCAATTTTTTTTTCCAAATGACACATGCATTTTCTATACCGAAACGTTTCCAGTTAATGTATTCTCCATGTATAATAAGAAAAATTATGGGGCCCCGTGCATTCAGCTGACTACATTAAGGTAAGTGCTCAGTCACACTGTATCCATTCCTCATTATTTATTACTTTTACTGTACTGTATTTCATTGTAGATTTTTATTTAAAAAAAAAAAATTATTTTTTTTTTATCTATGTCGGACTTACGACCATTCGGACTTACGACCATTCGGACTTATGACCTGGATTTGGGTCCCTAACCCCGTTAAAAGTCGGGGTCTAGCTGTATGTATATATATACTAGTTAAGCTAAGTTAATTAATTGCCCCAACCAACCCTAGCTATCCTCCAACACTACCCTCATCCCACATCACCCACACATACCAACATTCCACACACCCCTCCAATACCACCCATACACACCCAACATCACCACCCACACACCCCTACATCAACCACACACACCCTCCAACACCACCCTTACCCCACATCACACACACCCACCATCACCACCAACACACCCCCTCCAAAACATCACTCACACACCCATATGGGACCTTACCGGTCCCATATCGGCCTCTTTAGTCTCATTAAAACTCACCATGAAGGTGACATCCTTAATAACTCATATCATTGTATCATAGCTGGATGATCGTTATACTCGATTCCAAGTGACAGCAAAGTAGTAGGTGGCGAGTTAAATATCAGCTGTTGAGAAGCACATGTTACCACTCCTTTCCATTCCATCTCTCTAATGACCCACACCTCTCTGCTTTGTCACTCCATATTTTAAAATGTTATGTTACATAATGTTGACGGGATAAAACATTGCTCATTTATTCTTACACTTACCACACTCTTCCTCAAAAATTCTGCAGCTTTTATTTTTATTCAAGACACCTTCAGGTCATGAGACCCACTAATCCCCCACCCAACAAAAGGTGACCTGACATTGTATCAGAAGATCGGTAATGTGATACCACTAATCCCGCACCCTACCTTCACCTGACATTGCATCAAGTCAGGTCAGTTACATGAGACCCACTAATCCCCCGTCCGCCAGAGGAAAATACCAGTTTTCGTTGTGAGGCTATGTCTCATGTGTGAGTGTCCTGCGGCATCGAGTGACCTACTTTCCAAAGCGACCTGTGTCCCACCTGCCAGCGTCTGTCAGCATAAACATGCCGCCTATGCAGCACAGACGTTTGCTGGTACGTTTAAAAATAATGCTTTTTAATGTGTGGTACCTGCAGAGGTACCCAGGAAAAATCATCCCACATATCAGAGGAAGTTAGAAATAGGCAAATTTCAACATTTCTAGAAGGAACGTCACCAAGATTCAAAGAAGTTTCACGAGTACACTAGAATGTATTTTGATTGACGACAAGGCCTACCGTACTCACTCTGTGTATATTTGTTGAAACCCTATCCTAGGAATGCTCTGAACAAAGAAAATATAATTTCTATTACAGATCGTCACATGCCAAGCGTGTTGTAGTGTGCATTTGGAACTTTTACAAGTAAATGGAGAATTTTAAATAAACTTATTGAAACTGCTTTTGACATTGTAAAGTGTGCTACACTTTTCCATAATATCATCATTGACACAGAGGGTCTGGATGCAAAGACATATGCAATTCAAGAATGTACAGTTGAGAATAACACATCACCCTCTAGAATAAACAATGCTTCATATTCTTCTGCAAAGAATGTGAGAGAAACATTTTGCAGCTACTTAAATATTTCACAAGGATCTATTTCTTAGCAAGATCAAGCTGTTAACAGTGGAAAATGAATGTATAACTTTCTTTAGTTTGGGTGTAGAATGCGAGGACTCGTGCAACTGAGGAAGTGACGATCAAAATATTTGATGGCTACTTCAGGTGTGGCGTCTAGTTCCTGCTTCCTGGTCGCTCATGTCAATTGAACCTCATGGTCAGCGTAAAGCAGCATAAATGGAATAACAGAACATATGGGATTAATGAAATAGAGACTGGGCCAATTCCCAAACTCCACTTTTTCGACACAATACCAACACAATACCTATGTTGTAGTAAAAATAACATCTTAATTTTATGATGGTATGCACACACAATTAATATTTAAGAAATGCAGTTGCATGGTTAATGTCCATTCAAATAATGGACTCAACTCCCCTTCCCATTCCAGCTGGCTCCTCCTCTCTGAGAAATGTTTGGGTGAAAACACTAGATTTTAAGGTATAGTAATAAATAATACCTCAGACTAAAGTTAGGATAATATAATTGACATTGCTGGATTCCTTGCAAGACCAGGAATATTTTGAATATACACATCATATATTTTGCACAAAAGATAACATATTTGCTCTGTGTAAACAAAATTCTTACATTAGATCTAAAATTTATATGTCTAATGCAAAATCCATGATGTTTATATTCAAAATGATCATCATATTGTAAGAATTCCAGCAATGTACATTATATTCTGGCCAGGTAATTTGTATGAATTTTATGAGCTAAATAAAAAAATTATACTTCACCGCATATATGAGTAGATGCAACGTAAGTAGAATTCGGTTCTGGCGGGTACGTAAATGTGAAAAGCATAAAAGAACCAGCGTGGCGAGGTATTACTGTATATTTATTTAACCAAACTTCTAGATAACTACAGTATTTGGATTATTCTAGTGAAGAATTTGAGTTCTAACTAAATTAGAACTGCTATGACAGACTCGGGAGGTTTAAACTCAAAAAACATTCCCTAGCTAGTGTCTGTCTGTGCAACATGCTTAGTTTAGACACTCAGAAACTATTATGATGCACGCTGATACTCATGTATACAAAGATGGCAGCAGTACTGGCACCAGCAGTGACATTTCTACTTTAGCTTTAGAAACAACTTGAACTGGAAAAGTGTTATTACTCCACCTAATTTGCTTCATTCTTGAGCTATGAAATAAATTTTCTTTTAGAGACATTTTCTGTGTTAGATAGCTGGATAACCTGGGATACTGTCCTTATATATAACTATCTTGGTTTTAGTCATGCTCCTCAACCCCCTTGGGTTAACCTTCAGCATGTAAGATGCACGGTAAGTTTTGGAGATTTGGGGAAAAAAAAGCGTCTTATAAACCGGAAAATATGGAAAAACAGATGGAATAAATTAATATAGATAAAAAATAAAAGATGTTCTGATATTTGCAAAAAAAATCAGAAAAAAAGACAAACCAAGACAAACTTAAACCTACAACTCCTTACCCTGTACATTTGCCACTCTGCTATACTCTACCAAGGAAAAATTAATTATGACTTACCATCTCTTCAACAGTGAAGAACCCAGAGGCCGTCCGACCACCTTCAATGTAAGTGAGGTCGTGATCAAACAACTCCAGGAACTCATCTTCTTCATCTCCCTGTTCTTCTCTGTGAGTGCGTCCTTGAGCACCCAAGTAGTTCCGCAAGTTGACAGCATGGATGGCTGAACATGCTTTTTTATCAAGCTGTCAAAAATAAAGTTGGCATATAAAAGTCTATTCTCAAAAGAAAGAGTTCTAGAGGACTACTGTATCTGTATAATCGATTATTAATCCTGATAATGCAAAATGGCCATGAATTGATCATGGTAAGCTTTATCAATGTGGGTATGTCTGAGAGAGAGAGAGAGAGAGAGAGAGAGAGAGAGAGAGAGAGAGAGAGAGAGAGAGAGAGAGAGAGAGAGAGAGAGAGAGAGAGAGAGAGAGAGAGAGAGAGAGAGAGAGAGAGAGAGAGAGAGAGAGAGAGAGAGAGAGAGAGAGAGAGAGAGAGAGAGAGAGAGAGAGAGAGAGAGAGAGAGAGAGAGAGAGAGAGAGAGAGAGAGAGAGAGAGAGAGAGAGAGAGAGAGAGAGAGAGAGAGAGAGAGAGAGAGAGAGAGAGAGAGAGAGAGAGAGAGAGAGAGAGAGAGAGAGAGAGAGAGAGAGAGAGAGAGAGAGAGAGAGAGAGAGAGAGAGAGGAGAGAGAGAGAGAGAGAGAGAGAGAGAGGGAGAGAGAGAGAGAGAGAGAGAGAGAGAGAGAGAGAGAGAGAGAGAGAGAGAGAGAGAGAGGAGAGAGAGAGAGAGAGAGAGAGAGAGAGAGAGAGAGAGAGAGAGAGAGAGAGAGAGAGAGAGAGAGAGAGAGAGAGAGAGAGAGAGAGAGAGAGAGAGAGAGAGAGAGAGAGAGAGAGAGAGAGAGAGAGGAGAGAGAGAGAGAGAGAGAGAGAGAGAGAGAGAGAGAGAGAGAGAGAGAGAGAGAGAGAGAGAGAGAGAGAGAGAGAGAGAGAGAGAGAGAGAGAGAGAGAGAGAGAGAGAGAGAGAGAGAGAGAGAGAGAGAGAGAGAGAGAGAGAGAGAGAGAGAGAGAGAGAGAGAGAGAGAGAGAGAGAGAGAGAGAGAGAGAGAGAGAGAGAGAGAGAGAGAGAGAGAGAGAGAGAGAGAGAGAGAGAGAGAGAGAGAGAGAGAGAGAGAGAGAGAGAGAGAGAGAGAGAGAGAGAGAGAGAGAGAGAGAGAGAGAGAGAGAGAGAGAGAGAGAGAGAGAGAGAGAGAGAGAGAGAGAGAGAGAGGAGAGAGAGAGAGAGAGAGAGAGAGAGAGAGAGAGAGAGAGAGAGAGAGAGAGAGAGAGAGAGAGAGAGAGAGAGAGAGAGAGAGAGAGAGAGAGAGAGAGAGAGAGAGAGAGAGAGAGAGAGAGAGAGAGAGGAGAGAGAGAGAGAGAGAGAGAGAGAGAGAGAGAGAGAGAGAGAGAGAGAGAGAGAGAGAGAGAGAGAGAGAGAGAGAGAGAGAGAGAGAGAGAGAGAGAGAGAGAGAGAGAGAGAGAGAGAGAGAGAGAGAGAGAGAGAGAGAGAGAGAGAGGTGTGTGTGTGTGGTGTTGAGGGGTGTGTGTGGTGTTAGAGGGTATGTGTGTGTGTGTGGAGTGGTGTTGGAGGGTATGGGTGGAGTGGGGGTTGAGGGTTGTGTGTGTGTGAGTGGTGTTGGAGGGGGTGTGTGTGTGTGAGTGGTGTTGGAGGGTATGTGTGTGTGTGTGTGAGTGGTGTTGGAGGGTGTGTGTGTGTGGGATGGTGTTGAGGGATGTGTGTGTGTGTGTGTGAGTGGTGTTGGAGGGTGTGTGGGTGTGTGAGTGGTGTTGAGGGTAGGTGTGGGAGTGGTGTGAGTGGTGTTGAGGCATGTGTGTGTGTGGAGGTGGTGTGTGAGGGTGGTGTTGATGTGTGTGGGGGTGTGCTGGGAGGTGTGGGGGTGTTGGGTGGGAGGGTGGTGTTGGGTGGGTGTGTGTGGAGGGTGTTGAGGGGTGGTGTTGGAGGGTTGAGGTGTGTGTGGGTTGGCTGGAGGGTGTGGGGTGGGGCTGGAGGTGTGTGGGGTGGGGTTGGAGGTGGGGGTGGGGCTGGAGGGTGTGTGGGTGGTGTTGAGGGTGGGGTGGGGTTGGAGGGTGTGTGTGGGGGTGGGGGTGGTGTGTGGGGGTGGGGTTGGAGGGTGTGGGGTGGTGTTGAGGGTGTGTGGGGGTGGGGGGTTGAGGGTGTGTGTGGGGGTGGGGATGAGGGTGTGGGGTGGAGGTGTGTGGGTGGGGTTGGAGGGTGTGTGGGGTGGGTGAGGTGGGTGGGGTGAGGTGTGGGGTGGGGCTGAGGGTGTGTGTGGGTGGGTTGGAGGGTGTGGGGTGGGCTGAGGTGGGGGTGGGGCTGGGAGGGTGGGGTGGGGCTGGAGGTGTGTGGGTGGGCTGGAGGGTGAGGTTGGGCTGAGGTGGGTGAGGTGGGGGCTGGAGGGTGTGGGTGGGGTTGGAGGGTGTGGTGGGGGCTGGAGGGGTGTGGGGTGGGTTGGAGGTGTGGGGTGGAGGTGGGGGGTGGTGAGGGTGTGTGGGGTGGGGCTGAGGGTGGGGGGAGGGTGTGAGGGTGGTGTTGGAGGGGTGTGGGTGGGTGGGAGGGTGTGGTGGTGCTGAGGGGGTGTGTGGGTGGTGTTGAGGTGGGAGGGTGGGTGTGGTTGTGTTGTTGGGTGTGTGTGTGTTGTTGATGGTGAGTGTGGGTGGAGGGTGTGGGTGGTGTTTGAGGGGTGTGTGGGTGGGTGTTGAGGGTGTGTGTATGTGTGGGTGTGTTGTTGGTGTGTGGGTGGTGTTGGAGGGTGTGTGTGTGTGTGTGTGTGTGTGTGTGTGTGTGTGTGTGTGTGTGTGTGTGTGTGTGTGTGTGGTGTTGGAGGGTGTGTGTGTGTGGTGTTGAGGTGTGTGTGTGGTGTTGAGGGTGTGTGTGTGTGGTGTTGAGGGGTGTGTGTGTGTGTGTGGTGTTGAGGGTGTGTGTGTGTGTGGTGTTGGAGGGTGTGTGTGGTGTTGAGGTGTGTGTGTGTGGTGTTGGAGGTGTGTGTGTGTGTGTGTGGTGTTGGAGGGTGTGTGTGTGTGTGTGTGGTGTTGAGGGTGTGTGTGTGTGTGGTGTTGGAGGGTGTGTGTGTGGTGTTGAGGGTGTGTGTGTGTGTGGTGTTGAGGGTGTGTGTGTGTGGTGGGAGGTGTGTGTGGTTGATGGTGTGTGTGTGTGTGTGTGTGGTGTTGAGGGTGTGTGTGTGTGTGGTGTTGGAGGGTGTGTGTGTGGGTTGAGTGTGTGTGTGGTGTTGAGGTGTGTGTGTGTGTGTGCTGGAGGTGTGTGTGGTGTTGAGGGTGTGTGGTGTTGGAGGGTGTGTGTGTGGTGTTGAGGGTGTGTGGTGTTGAGGGTGTGTGGTGTTGATGGTGTGTGTGGGTGGTGTTGGAGGGTGGGTGGTGTTGAGGGTGGTTGTGGAGGGTGTGTGTGTGGTGTTGTTGGGTGTGTGGGTGGTGTTGGAGGGTGTGTGTGTGTGTGTGTGTGTGTGTGTGTGTGTGTGTGTGTGTGTGTGTGTGTGTGTGTGTGTGTGGGTGGTGTTGAGGGTGTGTGTGTGTGGGTGTGGTTGAGGGTGTGTGTGGGTGGTGTTGAGGGTGGTGAGGTGTGTGTGTGTGGTGTTGAGGTGGTTGGAGGGTGTGTGTGTGTGTGTTGAGGTGTGTGTGGTGTTGGAGGGTGTGTGTGTGTGTGTGTGAGTGTGTGTGTGTGGTGTTGAGGTGTTGAGGGTGTGGTGTTGAGGGTGTGGTGTTGGAGGGTGTGTGTGTGGTGTTGGAGGTGTGTGTGGTGTTGAGGGTGTGTGTGTGTGTGTGTGTGTGTGTGTGTGTGGTGTTGAGGTGTGTGTGGTGTTGGAGGGTGGTGTGTGTGGTGTTGGAGGGTGTGTGGGTGGTGTTGGAGGGTGTGTGTGGGTGGTGTTGGAGGTGTGTGTGTGTGGTGGATGTGTGTGGGTGGTGTTGAGGGTGTGTGTGTGTGTGGTGTTGAGGGTGTGTGTGTGGGTGGTGTTGGAGAGTGTGGGTGGTGTTGAGAGTGTGTGGGTGGTGTTGAGGGTGTGTGTGGTGGTGTTGAGGGTGTGTGTGGGTGGTGTTGAGGGTGTGTGTGTGGGTGGTGTTGAGGGTGTGTGTGTGTGTGGTTGGAGGGTGTGTGTGTGGGTGGTGTTGAGGGTGTGTGGGTGGTGTTGAGGGTGTGTGTGTGTGGTGGTGATGTGTGGGTGGTGTTGGAGGGTGTATGTGTGTGGTGTTGGAGGGTGTGTGTGGGTGGTGTTGGGAGTGTGGGTGGTGTTGAGAGTGTGTGGGTGGTGTTGGAGGTGTGGGTGGTGTTGAGGGTGTGTGGGTGGTGTTGAGGGTGTGTGTGTGGGTGGTGTTGAGGGTGTGTGTGGGTGGTGTTGAGGGTGTGTGTGTGTGGTGTTGGAGGGTGTGTGTGGGTGGTGTTGGAGGGTGTGTGTGGGTGGTGTTGAGGTGTGTGTGTGTGTGTGGTGTTGGAGGGTGTGTGTGTGTGTGTGTGGGTGGTGTTGAGAGTGTGTGTGGGTGGTGTTGAGGGTGTGTGTGGGTGGTGTTGAGGGTGTGTGTGGGGGTGGTGTTGAGGGTGTGTGTGGGTGGTGTTGGAGGGGTGTGTGTGGGGTGGTGTTGAGGGTGTGTGTGTGTGGTCGTGTTGGAGGGTGTGGGTGGTGTTGGAGGGTGTGTGTGGTGTTGAGGGTGTGTGGGTGGTGTTGGAGGGTGTGTGTGGTGTTGGAGGGTGTGTGTGTGTGGTGTTGGAGGGTGTGTGTGTGTGGTGTTGGAGGGTGTGTGTGTGTGTGGGAGGTGTTGTGTGTGTGTGGGTGGTGTTGGAGGGTGTGGGTGGTGTTGAGGTGTGTGTGTGGGTGGTGTTGGAAGGGTGTGTGTGGGTGGTGTTGAGAGTGTGTGTGTGTGGGTGGTGTTGGAGGGGTGTGTGTGGGTGGTGTTGGAGGGTGTGTGTGTGGGTGGTGTTGGAGGGTGTGTGTGGGTGGTGTTGGAGAGGTGTGTGTGGGTGGTGTTGGAGGGGTGTGTGTGTGGGTGGTGTTGGAGAGTGTGTGTGTGGGTGGTGTTGGAGGGTGTGTGTGGGTGGTGTTGGAGGGTGTGTGTGGGTGGTGTTGGAGGGTGTGTGTGGGTTGTTGTTGGAGGGTGTGTGTGAGTGAGATCTGTGTGTGGTGTTGGTGTGTG